AAAAAAAGAAGAAGAAGAAGAAGAAGCAGAAGAAGGAAGAAATCGTTTTCGGAGCCGTTCCCTTCGCTCGGGGGAAATCCCTGCATCTCGTTTCGAGATAGAGAACCGAGAAACTATTATTTAATCCGATTAGCCAGCGAGCCGTGTATAATGAACGTAGTCTTGCAGGGCTGTCACGCATCTCGCACGTGTTGCTAAGAGGATCAGCGAAAATTTATTTGCATAATTCTCGTTTTCATCGTGAAAACGGGGAATAAGAATTCGCCTCGGTGGCGGGGCGGGTCTCGCTTTTCTACTCTACCGTGCCTTCCTTTGGACCGCGTCGCGACTTTGAAATGAAACGCCTATTGAAAACTGCATCTCCCTCCCCCTTCCGTAGAACTCGCCCTTAACTGGCTCTAATCTCGAGCATCTTCTTGTTTCTACGTCCCGTTTTCATTTTGTAAACTGAAGCGAGACGGGAGAGATGAAAGGCGAAAACGTAACTTCAAATATCACGTTACGCGGCTCTCCATGGCTTATGCGAAAAATTCGTCCCTTTGCGAGACTCTCCTCTTTCCCTCCCTCCGCCCCGACTAAAATCGACTTGTAACGTTTTATCGTGATTCTACAAAAGTCGATACAAGCAAGAGAGGCTCTTTGACTCCGATCTCCGTCCAGGAAACGAGTGTTCATCCAGTGAAACGAGAGAAACGAGAAGGTAGTTGTGACGGCGGGAGAGTCGTCAGGCCGACGCTTGGGCGCAGGAAAACTCGCTCGCTGTGGCTCGAACTGTGCCAGGCCGCGAGTAAAAAACTCGCCTAAAGGGTGACTGTGCGACTGCGGCCGTTCCACGACCGAGTGCTGGAACTTTGCGCCGCGCTGACTAACGAAGCTGCCTTCTTTATGAGATTACCACGCGACAATAATTAATTACCCTGCTGTTGATATAAAAGAGTTCCGCTGGAGAGAAGGCTTTTGGAGGAGGTTATCGTGCGAGTTGGTAGCGCGCAGTTGCTCGCCCGTTCTCTCTAAAAAAAGCGACTCTTTTCTCTCTTCGTTTATGCCTGCCAGTTAACCCTTCCTCTTTATCGCTTTCGCTGACCCGTCTGAGACTTCATCCGTGTTTCCAGAGCTCAAGTCGAAGCTGAAGAACCACTACAGGGCGCACAGGCTCTCGTTTTGGCTGAACCTCGTGCCCGACCTCCACAAGCCGGGCTCCGACGACGTTCCGAGATCGCATCATCTTCTCGACACCGAACAGGTATCTTCAATTCTATTTGCATTGATGAACCCTCGCAGATCTCCAGAGATAGTCTCCCCTCTAGTTTAAGGAGAATTAAACAATTTTTTTTCTTTTCGTACAAATTGATCGCCGTTTCAGGTGCCGCCTAGATTTATCCAGAGGATACCGACGACGACCCGGATGACCACAGCGGAAGTGACCCTCACGGAGAAGGCGCAAAACGTCTCGACAGCAATACCGAGCGAACTAGCCTTCGAAGACTCAACTGCCCAGCCGGAGGACGGATTCGCGGCTTACTCGACAGCCCTGAGCGTAACGATAGCGATCGGCTGTAGCCTACTGATACTCAACGTCCTAATTTTCGCCGGTGTGTACTATCAACGGGACAAGAGCAACCAGCACAATTGCTCGAAGAAGCGACAGGAGAACGGGCAGATGCCCAACAACATTTGCGGGGACCTGGACACGAAGACTGCCGAGAGACACCACATCCAACACATTCCGCCACCCGAGTTCGCCGACCTGCAGAACAACAGCTGTCACGTACCGATGCCGCCGCCGCCGCCGAAGAACACGAAGCCAGGGAAACCGGGACAGAACCTGATCATCAGTCCTAATCAGCTGCAGCAGGAGAGCATGGCGATGACCGGCACCGGGACGCTGAAGAAGGGCCACAATCATCAACAGCAGGTGATGGACGAGCTGAGGGTTTGACTCCACGAGCACCTCGTGAGTGTGGCTGAACAATTACGAACGACTGACAGCGACGTGAAACTCGAGGATGGTTTAAGCGAGGTGCTCCTTCGACTTTTCGGCGTTCGCTCGTGCACTTGAGCGAGGAATTGCGCGAGCGTTTGGAAGAAACGTTCTAAAGCTTTGTCGTGAAGTTCTAGGCAAACGAACTAGGAGATCAAGGTACATCGAATTTATTGCAATGCCGGATTATCTCCTACGAGACTTGTCGAAACCTACGAGTTCTGGCATCAATCATTTCTTTGTAATCAGTAGAGGTAATGTTAATTCACGACAATGCGAGGAACGTGCATTCGACGGTGCTTGTTGTTGTTGCTGACAAACTGACTTCCAAGTCCCGTAAATGATATCGTTCGCCTGTGGTGAAATCTCGCGAGCACACAATACAGAGAGAGAGAGACACACACACGCGCGGAGGTGTCCGACCCGTTATCCTTTTTCTACTTACTCCGAGCAAGCGGAGAGAAAGAAGAAAACCACGCGACCAACTGCCGAGAAATCGTATACTCTTCGATATGTAATTAACGATGTCTAAGTAGAATTTTCGATCCTTGAGGAAACATTGGAACTGTTTCCCGATAATGGCTCAATCGATATCTCGAAAATATTGTTTTCCATTTTGCAACTCTTCGCACGGTCCAAAGGATTTTTTTCTTCCCTTTGATCGAGGAATTGAACCTTGTCGAAGATATTCTATTAAACAAAATTAACACGGCGTGAGAAGATGAACATTCTGTTCCTGAGCGAAGAAACCACGTGCGAGTCAGACAGATCTGTTCTTTCGACGAAAAGACGATAGATTCTCGGTCAGAATTCCGATTCGATGACTCGTGCGTACTCGATTTCTCTTTTGTAGAATCGTTAGTTCCTTTCGAATAAAATCCGCTTGCATCATCGACGACATTCCAGCAGTCCATGGAACTTTTCATTCTTCTTTCGTTAAACTAAATTAATTGAAGTATCTTCGACTGTCCCACGAGAAAGAGATAATGAGAGAGATACAGAGCCTCGAATCGATCGTTCGATTATTTACGCTCTGTCACTGCCACGGGGAACTCGAGCTCGTGCGGCGAAACTCGAAGAGCTGAAAATAGTGTCGTTTGGCCTAGATGCTCAATAACATGTTACGAAACTAACGGAAGAAACGAACGGAAATTTTCGAAAATGGACATCGATGACACGATGCGATTGAGATCTCGAATCGAACAGCGCCGTAAGAAGTTCTTTTTTTCTTTTCTTTTTTTTTTTACTAATACGAAATACGGGATTGAAGGAACACGATAGATGATTTGTCATTAAAATTATACAACAGCATACTGCCAAAAATCGGAAGCGATACTTTTACCTGGGAACGCGAAATACGATGTTTCAAGTGATCGTTGATCGTATGTCGCGATTCGAGCAGGAAAGAAACAAGGAAACACGTGGTTTTTGATCCAACTTTTTTTTTTTTTTCTTCTGTTTAGAGCGTCACTATGTCGGACATTCTAAGAAAAAGAAAAAAAAAAAAAGGTATGGACAACGAAAAGTACGAAAAGTACGAATAGTACGAAAACAGGATGGATTTAGACTGTAAATATCGATTAATTTAACTTAGTGGTTCGTCGAGTCGTTTGTGGCGAAAATTTTGTGGTGTATGAAACGACGAGGAAATCGAG